GGAGGAGGAGGAGGAGGAGGAGAAAGTGCAGCAGATGTTGCACAAGCCTATTGCTACTTTAAACTAACTCGCGCAAGCTATTGTCCCCCCTGTCATCCTGCTGTGTAGCACATGGTGGACATCGTTGGAATCCACAGTCGGACTGCCATATGCAGAAAAGGACTACTGACAAAGACAAGGGAGACTGGAATGCCCATTTTGGGCCTATCAACCGCTGTCAGCCAGTCATACCTAACTCCAGTTTTGCGAACAATGAAATTCAAAACCGAGAACATTTGATCACTGAGCCCTAGTGAGTCTAACGCCCTACCATTGAGCCACGGGTCTGTTGTCCTCTCGGTTGTAATCGGAAATCTTCACTGTCGTGAGAAATACATTCAGGGATCAGGTACCGTCAAGGGTTACACTAATAACTCTGGCCACCGTCAGTCCTAATTATCCTCTCTTGATTGGTCATCGCCGCGCAGGCAGCTGGAGCAGCCGTAACCAGGTAGGCGGACGATTGCCACTCAGCTAAACACTCCTGAGTTGGTAAACCCTATCTGGCTCCTAAAACGGGTCACGCGGTAGATACGCTTGATTTATACCGAGGGCTAGATCGCATTCTGACAGGTGTTATCGAGATTGTGCACCCATAACAAATGCCAACACTGGGGCTGCGGTGGCGGGCCGGTGACCAGTTCACGCCGCGCCAATTGCGATCCGAGCGGTGGATGTTGTGCAAGCCCATTGGTGCGCTCGAATCTATCGGGACGCGCCAAAAGGCGTAATCTGGGAGGCGGCCAACCGACGGGGTAACTTGCCCCTTCTCAGGACTGATAATCGGTCCGAAGTGATTCTTTCTCAAGGTGTCCTTTATGGCACCCTCACCCACGTGGGGTCCGAGTCGTTCTTAGCGAAACCTCATGCATACACTGTGGACTGGGTTGTGCGTGGCACGCGTAGATGAGTTGTTTAACTTTGTCCGCCCATTCCCTGGCCGTCTTGACACCTTCCTGCCATCGCAGCCTAGTGGGCAGGGGAGGAGTGAGTGCAGTAGATGCAGAGCAAGTTTGCCCCACCATAAATTAATTCGCGCATAAGTCACCGGTGCCGTGGGACAAGCGATGGTCGAATAGTTGAGTAGCTGTGGTTTTCTGTTTTATCTAGACTGCATTTTGGTTGCGCACTTCTAAGATGTTGGAACTCCGTAAAGCAGATGTGTTGAGATTTGCAAAGCTGGATATAACTTTGCAGTGGTTTACGACCAGAAATGGAATATCTAACAGAGATTGTATAAGGCTTTCAAAATAAACTCTGGAAACTCCAGTGCTCACTCACCGACCTCGTCTTCAGAAGATTCACCAACTGCCCCCCAGGGAAAGCATCCAAACGCCAGGAAGGCCAGGGCAGCACTTCGAACGGAGCTCCATCCTTTGGCTGCCAATGAAAAAGCAGCCTTGCCGCGGTCCAAAAACATACTCTTTTTGCCTGTTCATTAGTGCAGGGAAGCAGCCAGAACGGATGGCTGATCGGTAGTCCTCAAAGTAAATACAAAATTATTGTTAATTAAAATTTTGCTAGTAAGCAGACGGTTGAAGTTAAATTTTAAAGTTGCCGATGCGGGATGAGGATATGCATAGGACTTCGTACTCAGCCCTATGTAAAGGTATGTAGTTGGTTTATGCTTCACCCAACTGTAAAGAACTCGGCGACCCCGGCGGTTCAAAATGAATTATTTAGAATCGGCCAAAACACCTGCTTATTATGTAAGCCTGGTAGTCAGCTCACTGTATGCGACATAGTGGATTCCATACGCTGCAGTAGGCTTGGCGGGTAACATTGTCCATATGTAATTAGGCTCACGGATTCCGGTGGGACGTCGTACCTCAGAGTTGAGATGGCTAGAACGTCGGCTGTACTTATGCCTCACTCTTGCTGTCATGGGTTCGAATCCCACCGAGGTCGCCCA